GCTGAAGCAGGAGGATCGCTTGAGCTCAGGAGTTTGTGGTTGCTGTGAGCTACAATGATATCACTGCACTCTCCCCAGGGTGACAGGGTGAGACTCATCTCAAAAAAAAACAAAAACAAAAAAAGAGAAACTGAACTCCCCTCCTCACACACAGCCCCCAAAAGAAAAACAAAAACAAAAACAGACTGTCCCGAAAGCAACCCCAGGAGAGGCATTCCAGAGACGTTTTCAGCCTGGGGTGACCCAGCAGACAGGGCGGTCACCGTGGAACCACACTCGTGGAAGGCAGTTCTGGCTGCCTTTAGGAGACTCAAGAATTGGGGTACTGGTTTAGTGTTTTTAAGAATGTATTTAAATGCTCATTTATTGTGAGATGTTTGCTTTTCTGACTTTGTGCTTAGGGGAAATGGTTGACGAAAACTCGTTTGTACATGATTTCTACTTGTGCAATGACGCTCACACTCTTGGACTGAAGGATCTTAACACATTAGACTGTCGGCCCTGACTCAGGGATGAGAGTGCCCGGTGGCCGTACTCAGGACAGGGCCGTGCCAGGAGGCAGTTCCTGGGAACTGCCAACACCCACATAACTTCATGAGCTCCAAGTCTGACATACCAGGGGTAAGTGGATTCTTGAAATTTCCATAAACAGCACTGAGGTTGGTTTTTCTTGTTTTTAGAGACAGGGTCTCACTCTACTACCCAGGCTGGAGTGAATGCAGTGGCGCAATCATAGCTCACTGCAACTTTGAACTCCTGGGCTCAAGCGGTCCTCCTGCCTCAGCCTCCTGAGTAGGTGGGACTACAGGCATGAGCTACCACACCCAGTTAATTTTCTTATTTTTTTCTAGAGATGGGGTCTCACTATGCTGCCCAGGCTGGTCTTGAACTCCTGGCCCTGAGGTTGCCTTTGTATTTCATTTTTCTTGAGACACAGTCTTGCTCTGTCACCCTGGCGAGAGTGTACTGGCATCATCATAGGTCTCGCTCTTGCTCAGGTTGGTCTCAAAACTCCTGACCTCAAGTGATCCTCGCATCTCAGCATCCCAGAGTGCCAGGATGACAGGCGTGGGCCACCGCGCCTGGCCCTGAGGTTACCTTTAAACCAGACTTTCGGCCCCTTGGGAAGAGAGGAACTCAGCAGTGCCCAGACCAGGGAAGGCGCCCAACATACCAAACGGAATTATGAAAAACGACAACGAGCGCTTCTCTATCCCAACCCTTTGATTAAAAAATAAAATTTATTAACAAAAAAAAAAAAAGAGAGAGAGAGAGTTGTGGCAGGTGCCCGTGTGGGCTCTCTGCAGAGCTGTCCCGTCCTGGCAGGGATGTCTGCTTGGCCGCCGTGTGGCCTCAGCTTCCTCACTGGGAAGCGTGGGGCTCCTAACTATGCCAGGGGCCGGCCTGGGTGAGAGCGGGCGCTTGGCACGGAGAGCCGCGCTGGGCAGAGGGCGGCCGTCAGGGCAAGTCGCGGTAGGGCAGGCGGAAGGGGTAGAGGGCCGTGTAGCGCGAGTCCTGCCAGAGCAGCTTGTCCTCCAGGAAGGCGACGGTGGGCAGCGTGAGGACCAGGGTCTGGTGCTTGAGCATGCTGTGCACGTTCAGGCCTGGGGGTGGGGTGGGGTAGGGGGACAGTCAGGGCGGGGCTGCCCCTGCCCTCCACATCTGGAACCCCTCTCCCTCCCTCAGGGGCACACCCTGCCCCGTCCCAGACACACCGTGGTCTAGCCTCGGTTAGCGAGCCCGGCACCTGGGCCCAGACCCCGGCCAAGGAACTGTCCTCAGCCCTTCAGCTACTGACCAAGAGCCTCCAGCACTTGCCGTGACTCCCAGCTCACCGTCCCGTGGGAGCGACGCAGGGCAGGTGAGGGGAGGGTAAGGAGGGGACGCGGCGGGTCGTGCAGGGCCTGGTGGGCCACAGGGAGGGCTTGGGCTTTTACCAGGAGGAGGGAGGGAGGCGGGCGCCGTGGAGGAGGGCTGTGGGCAGAGCAGGGACAGGCCCTGACTCAGGTGCTCTCACGCGCCCTCTGGTGGCTGTAGAGGGAATAGACTGCGGCTTTGACAGAGGGGACCTTAGAGCTTTTAAGAGAGGTTATTGTTCCCGGCAGGCTGAGTCAGTCGGGAGAGGGTGATGACTGTCCAAGACCACTCAGTGCCCAAGTGGCAGAAGCAAGATTCTGATTTGTTTTTTGTTTTTTTTTTGAGATAGGGTCTTGCTGTGTCGGCCAGGCTAGAGGGCAGTGGTGTCATCGTAGCTCACGGCAACCTCAAACTCGTAGGCTCAAGTGATCCTCCTGCCCAGGAGTACAGGGCTGAGCCACCACCCAGCAAGGACCGTGATTCTAGCAGCGGGGCCACACGTGCATGCTCCGGGGGCCGGGGAGGTGGGCTGGGCCCTTCACTCACCCACAGCTGGGATCAGGTTGAAGGTCTTGAGCCTAGAGGTGGCCTCCACGATGTTCTGCGGCATCTCCTCGTGTGCTCTGTGAGAAAGGCCGGGAGGTGAGCCCTGCTGAGGGCGGAGCTCGTGCTGCCCTGCCCCAGCCCTGCCCCGCCCCCCTCACAAGTCCACGAGGAGCACGGAGTCCCCCCAGCGGCGGTAGCGGGCCAGCTCCGTCAGGTACTGGGGGTCTGCAGTGGGCAGCTCCAGGGAGTCCACGATGTGCAGGTCGTCCTGGTGGGAGGAAGGGACCATCTGAGCCCTGGGTCCAGACCGCCTGCCCCTCCCCCAGCAGCCGCCCGGGCTCTACCTGGGCCAGCTTGACGGTCAGCGCCACCTTGAGGCCCTGCGCCCTCAGCTTCATGGGCAGCATGTAGTAGTAACTTGTGGGGCCCCGGGGGCCATGGGCCACGCCTCCTGTGGGGACAGAGGTGTGTGTGAGCAGGTGTGTTGTGTGTGGATCAGCGACAGCCTGGGACCCGTGACTTCACCTCTCTGGGCCTCGGCTTCCACAGCTGGCAAACCCTGAGATCAGACAGTTCCATCTCACAGGACACGGGGAGGTACAGCACAGACCGCACAAAGCAGAACAGAATTGGAGCTCAACCAAAGCATGAGCTGTTAATGCTGCAATTACCAGGTTAAAATTCCCAGGTCTAGAGAAGGAAGCAAGCAATGGAACCAGCAGAGAGTGTGATTTAGGGACGCCAGCGGCTGGGGAGACGCCCTGGCGAGTACCCTCTGCTGGGATATGCACCTTCAGCCAGGCCCTGGGAGTGCAGCAGAGAATGGGATGGACATGGTCCCTGCCCTCATGCAGTTGACACTCTGGCAGGGCAGACAGGGCTTGACTGAAGAGGGAATCAGGGTGGCCCGAGGGGCTGTGGAGGGTTGGTAGTGCCCAGGGGAGGTCAAGGAGGGCTTCCTGGAGGAGGCATGGCCCAGACTCCTGAAGGTGAGGTAGGAATTAACGGGGCTGACA